TAGATTCTTTGATACTTTTGTATTTTTAAAACAATAAAATCATGTTTGATAACCTAAATATAATTTTTAAGATATGATATTTTTTGTTTTAAATGTTGTTGGAAAAATTATCTCGGGTCGACGAGTACGATCTTTCCGAACTCACGGTTATTTGCGATTTGGATGCTTTGAAATAGTTCTCCAAGATGGACCGTAARTGTGTATATTATTAACCAATTAACAAATTATCATAGTAACTAACATTTTTATTACTCATAATAGGGGAAATATAATAAGGATGAGGTTGTATGATTCTGCACGATTCAGTTTTATGGAGATAGCTCGTGCAATTGTAGATAATTCTATAATCTATGCATCTCGACTTAAACTCATTCATTTGTCTACTCTTGCAACTCAAAGTACGTAACAAGTTGCTTATATTTTTAAATATTTTATTTTATTACTTACATTTTCTATTTTATTAAAAATTTATATTCAATTATTTTTAGAGAATTTTTTGAGTTCTACGGAGTTAAAAACAATCGTGTTCGAACCAAACATGCCTGAAGCAGATGCTGTTAGAACATTGATTACATAAACATATATGATTAGTTTTAGCATTATCATGTATTATTTACCTTTTTTTTTTGGATTTCTGAACTTATCTTTTATGTGTATTATTATGTTGGTTTAAGTTTAATCATTGTCTCTTCATTGTTTATTAATGATATATTTTGAATTATTAACTAAAACGACTAAGGAAATTATTACATACACAAATAAAGAATGAGTGATATGTATGATGAAAAAGCTTATCTACTAAATTTTTATTCAAGACAACTAAGGTAAAAAAACAAGGATGACAAAATATTTTTTGTTCAACCTCGAAATTGCTTACCCTAACTCTGTTCATTCCAATTCCAACCTTTACACTTTATTTCACAGATCAAACCATATTTTTCCTATTTAATCATTTTACAGTTTCCAATGAAGATGGGTGATGACAAAATTGCAAACAATCATGTAACGCAAGTTGATGTAGATATTGCAAAAGGTATATGGAAAACTCACTTTAACTATTATCATCATGATACATTCACTCAATTGTATCAATATATTTATAATAAAACATATTGTTGCAGAAAAAAAAAGGAATACAACAGACAATATTATGAATGACAAAAGGAAAAGAACAAAATGAGAAAAATAGCTAATAGTGAAGAAAGTAGTCAATCTATGAGCCTGTTGGAGACGTTGCACGTCAATGAAACAACTCCTGTCAGTGTAGTGACTATTGCTGAGAAGAGAAAAATTGTTAACAGAAATTATTATCATCGAAATAAAGAAAATAACATATGTAGAACAAGTGTTAACACGAAAGGAACACGTTTTACATGCACCGAAGGAACGACTCCAATATGTTCGGATTTGACACATGAAAACTTCCACGGTAAAACCATGCATTTCCTTTTTTTTAATTCTTTTATCAATTTTAGTAATTAAAATCTCATTTAAATTACATTATCTTTCTTACATAGGCATTCGAAGTAACCGTGGTATACTTCTACCTCTTTTTGATGAAGTTACTAATGAAGCATTCARAGGTTAGTTAGAGTGACTTTTAAACTTCACATCATCTACAGAAAAAAAAATCATTAATTACTATTGTAAACATGAAATGTCTTGTCATGTAGCAGGTGTATTAGGGCCGATGTCAATACTTCCAGCCAACATGACATCCTCCCAGAGGATCCATATGATTTTGTTTACAGTGGTATTCATAGAAAACATCGTGTCTTGAAGGAACAAAATCCATGTGAATTTTGTGGAGCAAAACGGTTTAAATTTGAATTCCCTTCCTTTTGTTGCATGAAAAGGAAGACAAAGTTAGCATACTCACCAATTCCTGAGGAGTTATACAATCTTTTCTCATCGCAATCTGAATTAGGCGAAATGTTTAGGCACAACTTACGGGCATACAATACGAACTTTTCGTTCACGTCAATGGGTGTAAACTTGGATAGTTCAATGGCGAACATGACATCCGGAGTATATACATTTCATGCGCATGGACCTGTATATCATAAAATCGATCAGTTAGTGCCGAGGGATGGACAACCTAGGTACTTACAGTTGTACTTTTATGATTCARAAACAGAGTTATCGCATAGACTCCAGTGGCCAAATCTTGATAGAAATGTCGTTGAAATTTTGACTCGTGTTCTTTCTATGAACCCATATGTGAGAACATTTCGAAGCCTT